TTTTTTTTGTTAGAATCCAGATTTTTATTTCAAATAGTGCGTCATTGTAGACTTTGTTAGAAGGTCCAAAGAGCCGCTTACGGAGCGTTGCTCAGTCAGATCCTCTGTTCTTGTGTTTCCTGACTTGCTGGTCTGACTGTGGCCAAAACATCAGTGGTTCAGAGGTGGCGTCCACCACATGACCGTTCAGTAAAACACTGGCTATATGCTGCTACTTTCTGTGTATTTGGAACTGCCTTCAACCAGCGTTAATTATGCTAAAACCTCAACAGTTCAAAATTCGGTAATGGGAATAAGGAAGATCAAAGGCCTAATTGTACAGATCTAATGTCATGTTTTCACATAAGCTCCTACAGAATGGTAGAAAGATGAATGTGTGTGTATTTATTCAAGGGGTTTACATATGCATGTGATTTTCTATTATTATTTTTGTTACATATTTTCTTTATTTTTTATTAAAACCATTATGACTCGCATCATTAAGTGTTAACTGGCCGTCATGAAGATTAGGGCTGGGATTGTTAGTGGAGTCATGATGTGATGTGGGAAAACAATGTTTTACAAGGTAATGTTTCACTTTTGTGCTAAAACAATAAAAATGGTCTTACAGAAAAAATATTTATTTCACCATGGTGTGTCAAATTAACACACACCTGCCTCAGTAGAATGCCATGTTTTCTTGTTTTTCCCATCTTGAGGAGTTTAAGAAACATCAGTAACACTTTATATGAAGGGCTGTGCATAAGACTGACATGACACTGTCAGAAACGCAACAAAACACAAGTTATAAACATGAAGGAGTCTTTATGACTGTTGTCATGAAGTGTCATTTGGCAAATAATGACACTTTTAATGCAAAGTTTTACTTAAAGTTGCATTAAAAGCCAAATAAAATGATCACCTTTGCAGTATTCAATGAAACTTTGCATCAAAAGTGTCATTATTTACTGAATGACACTTCATAACAGTGTCATGTCAGTCTTATGCACGCCCCGTCAAATAAAGTGTTACCCAACCATTTGTGTCATGTCACCTGTATGACAGATGCAGAAATAAAAATTCAGACCACTTCATATTATTCTTTTTCTCAATTTCATAGCGACAGCTCTACTGAAGTTGAAGCCAGACTGCAGACACCACAGCACTGCTGTTAGGAGTTCAGACTGAGCGACAAGGATTTGTCACATTTTACTGAACCTTTTTAAAACATCTGTGGTGACTGGCACCCCGGACTGGCCAGAGTTTTCCAGTGGCCGCAGGCTTTTCAGGCCCGGGCTGCTCAGGCCAGATGGCAGCAAGAACCAGGCATTATAATCTGAAGAAGGCAAACCTGCCGACTCTAATGATGTGACATGGTTTTAATCTGAGGGCTCGCGGTTTTATTGCAAACCGCGGCGACTCGCCACAAAGAGAAGACAACCTTTATAAGCCGGAGCTTTTTCATTTGAGGAGTTATAGGAGGGATAAATTTGGAAAAGACATTTATACCGAACTGAAACTGGAGCATGTTTTGAAAACTCTAAAACTGGCTGCATTGTGAGTGTTATTATTAAAACTGCAGGCTTATACGAGGACAATGTTCCTTTGAAAGTTTTAAATATGAAAATGTTTTAGATTAGCCTTCTTAATGTGTTTTGTTCCTTCGTCTTTGTTTCGTGAACTCTTAGGTTATCGAGTCCTGACAGACAGCAAGGGGTATAATTTCTCTGTCTGTGTTTGCTTTGAGGATCTGACCTCCAAACATCTTTCATTGTGCCTATTTGTGGCCGTATGACCACAAAACATCCAGTGAAACTGCCTTTCTGGGTTTGTGGGCGGCACAGACCCAAACATCTTCCCAGCATGCACCAGGGCAGAGAGACGCACCGGTCTGTCCTCAGTTGTAGAGCTTCCACTAGAAACTACAACAGAGGTTTTTTGTTGTAGGTCATAGAACATATTCTCAAGAATACTGTTCTAAGAAACTGAAATGCCTAAAGAGGGCTGCATGTGGGGAACCTCAAGGCTCTATTATCGAGCCACTTTTACTTAATGTCCACTTGCTTCACCCTCAGTTAAAAACATATTACAACCTGGATGTGCTGATGGCACACAGACATTTCCACGTCTCCAAATGACCACAGACCCTTTCGGTCCCCGAGTCTCTGTTAATTAGTTAATGGACTAGAATTTCCTCCAGCTTAATGCAGAAAAGAGAGAAATCCTGTTTATAGTCCAAAGAATATAAGGCCAGATACAATGATGTTAAAAACTACAGAGCTTACCAGACACATGGGTCTGATTATGGACTCAGAACCACACGCTGCCAATCTGTTATTGACTTTAAAACAAAGCCAGGATTTAGGATTTCCTGGAAAAACTGGATATAGAAAACAGATTCTTGCCTTAACTTTCAGGATTTCAGATTTTAGTTTGAAAAAATGTGCTCGCAATAAATAGCAAGTGATGTTTGTGTCTCATCAAATATTAATGTTTCAAAACAACCTGTTTATAATAATCATTGCATGGATTCGTCTCTGCGTTAGAAGCTCTTTGGGGCCCCCTGCTGGCCTTAATTGGTAGCTCGCTTTCCTTATCCCATCAGCCCTACTCTCTTCCTAATAATGCCTTCCAACACAGGGTTCAAGAAATACGTTTTATTTTTATTTCTTTCAACAAAAAAAAGAAAAGATAGATGGCTAATATAACAGACATTTCATTCTGGCAAGTCCAGCTCAAAAATAAGACATTAAAATAAGATTACACATGGAAACAGGTGTTAATATCTGTAAGCATAAGAATAGGATTCAAGCCACACTGGACTCCTGCATTATCCAGGTTTCTCTCTCTTGGCAAAACTGAGAAAAAGATATAAATTATACAACAGATGTGGAGTGAAGGAACAGGGTGCTGCCCTAACACTCAAGTTTTAGAACCGACGAGTCCCCGTCTGTCTGTAGCGCTGCTGCTGCTGGGGTGGATTTTGGCCTCCGAAGTATCTCTGGTAGGCGTGTTGGACACCGAAGCGGTAGGCGTAGAAGCGGCAGGGCGAGTAGTCCTCGCAGGTCTCTGCACGGATCTCCGCTGGGGACTTCCTGTTCCGGGAGGATTTGGAAGAGAAGCATTACTCATAATATGTTTGCATTTTAATCTATCCAAGTTAAAGTTGATGTTATAAGGTGTGTTTGCACGGCTGTGCTTTACCTCGAGAAGTACTGGTTGTAGCGGTTTGCTCTGGGTGTGGTACGTCTGTTCCCCCGGATGAAGGAGTTGGCTCGATTTGGAGGCACAAATAAATCTGGAGAAACAAAATTTCCCTAAACAGCAATCCTGCTACAAGGACTTAAGTCATCTTAGCTGAAAGATTTTCTATGAACAATGGTGGTTTTTGAAATGGGCCATTTGGGTAGCTGCCAAGACGAGCACAAGCAATTTGGGGTGGAAGATATGGACTTGGTTTCATTGGGATGTTTTGGTACTAGAGTGAAAACAATAAAAGTTACTTCCTTTTTGGGAGCACAACAATATTTCCCCCACAAACAAGCACTTTTGTTTTTTTTGGCTTTACATGATTTGTATGTAACTGCACAAGGATGCAGATCCTGTCTTGGATTTTATTTGTTTGGGAGCGGCAGAAGGAGGAGCATGCCCAAAGCACCATTCATGCAAAAACCACCACTGTGGTTAGTTAAAGGAAATCAGCTTTAATGCAGTCTGGGTTAGAAACGCATGCATGTTTTTCCAGGCACTGAGATTTTTTTTTTTTACACTTAATCACCTTCATGGGATTCATTGCTTTCATTAGAATCTAAGGGAAAAACATGAAGTTGGTTAATCATGAGTGCTGAACATAAATTGAGGAAGTTTATGCATTGAGTTTATGCACTGTTTGCACGTTGGGGGCATTGTATACCATAGCAGATACAGAGGGAGACCACAGCGCAGAGGGCCAAGAACTGAAGGAGGCTCCTCATCTTGGGGGTGTTGTACCTTCCTTACTGCTGACACAGGAGAGACGTCATGTCAGAAAGCAAGAGAGACCATGGGAAAAATGGGTTTTGTCTTACTAAGACAGATGGCTGAAAAAAAGAAATAGAGGCAGAAATAGGAAAAAATACATATTATAGTAGTAGTAAAATGGTTGCAAAAGTTCAATGCGCTGTCTTTACTAATGGTCCTTGTAGGGTCACAAACTGGTGCCTATTCCCAGTGGTCAACATATGAGAGTTGGGGTACAGCACGAACGGGTCGCTGGTCCATCACAGGTTGTGTCAATAATGGGCTCAACATACTGGAAGCAACGAACGACAACAAGTGACAGTCCTCCGCCATTCTGGGTGAACTCAAAACGCGACAGCAATGGCAATGATGAAAGTTGAACACTGTTCAATTTCCTTGTTTGTTTCACTGGCCTGCTGTTGGAGCTCACAATTTCACACACATGAACTTTGCTGGACGCTCAACTGGAGGAGGGCAAGCGACTGTCGCCTCATCATGCACGTTCCGCAGGAAGTGGATAATAATTTGCCCTTCTCCTCACTAATCTTATTAAATTTTTTAAAATCACCTGCAGGTGAGCTAATTCCCCGACCATGTCATCACTATGAAGCTTTGTCCTTCTTGAGTCTGGTTTAGCTTGGTAGCAAGCAGTGAATATCAAGTTTTACTGAGAGGTGTAAAGGGTTGAACAGTTTACAGTACAGCCCCCTGAGGTTTCCGTCCAGCAATGACCTAAATTTTCAACTTGTACATATAAAATGTAAAAACGGATAATATACACTACTGATGATTTATAATATTACACATTTTACAAATAGGTTTGTATCCACCCTGCACACACAGTGGATAGGGACCACAAATCCGCAATGACTTACATATTTTAATAGTTCTAACACAAAATTTACCTTGATATGCATCAATACACAGTGGAAACCCTCTTGGCATTACTGCAGAATCCAATATACACAATATGATCTCTGCTCCAATTAGTGGCAAAGAAAGTCAATGCCACTCCTGGATTGGCTGCTTTCCAAGAGTCAGCCAATAATGTGCCAAGTAGCATTTCACTTAAGCATTTTAGCTTTCCAACCTCCGTATTGTTTTGAATATCTTTCTACAAAAAATCCACAAATGTGTAATTTTCTGTCAATAATTTAGTCACATTCTACAGAAAAATCTCCTGATAGGTGATACAGTGAAGACTGAACCGCCACCAAGCAGGGGGCCATATATGGCCTCCTTTACAACATGGTACAAGTTCAAAGGACAAAACACAAACAAATGCATGACAGTTAGCTTGCAGTTGGAATGATATCCTCAGTCACTGAGGATATCAATGACTGGATCCATCTGCTGCTTGAACTTGATACTGGAACATTGGCAGGTTGGGTCTGATCTCATTCCTAAATCCAAATTCCAACATTTAAGGTCGACTGACAGCAACATCAGTAGCCAGCAGCACTTCACCTTGGTTCCTCATGGTCTGCATCATTATAGTTAAATTGTTCTACTCGCGTTCTGTCCCAGGTGTATACCACATCACCCAATGACCGCTGGAGATGAGCACCAAACCCCCCAGAGACCCTGCAAAGGTAAGCAGGTGTAGAAAATGGATGGATTTGATATTCTACCGTCAGGCAGCCCTTATGCCACCAGTGATACTTATTTATTTTTAGGACCACAAGTTTATGGCATAATTTATTAGACATATTGGTGTGGAATGTTTGAATAAAGGCAACACAAGACTGTGTATAGCCTGAAGAGAAAGTCTGAACTAAACACAAGACCGATCCCAGAAATGTGTTTTAGCTCCAGTCTGAAGGAAAGAGCCATCAGAGAATAGTTGTGGCTAAGGAGAGCTGGGCAGTAGCCAAATACTCGAGTCCAAACTCATTTTGCTCAGCAGAGTGTAACCATAAACTCTTCTTTATAGCTCACTGCACACCCGAACGCCCACAGAGAAGATGTCTACATGCAAATAGACAATCCCAGGAATGAGTGATTCAACATAAAGCATTCAACACCTGTATAAATACTCACACCAGGTGGCTGAAAACATGAATGTGCAGAAAGGCACACATGAACTGAGTTTACATGTCCAGACTGCTGACAAGGTTCTTCTGCTTGTGTGATTTGGAAGGAACTCCGTCTCTGCAGCCAGGCTTCTCTTGCCATCAATAGCTGCTTTCATTATACATGAACTCACACATCAAAGCCATCGTTCTGCACACAGACAAGCAGACTGTACACAACTGCACACACCGCCTCTGCACCTAAGGCATTTTCGGTTCAAAACTCACATGTGGAAGGTACAGAGAGCAGGCCCAGAGCTAAAGAAGTCTTCAACAACTGGAGATACAGAGTCAGTCTGTGTGTGTGTGTGTGTGTGTGTGTGTGTGTGTGTGTGTGTGTGTGTGTGTGTGTGTGTGTGTGTGTGTGTTATCAGAATGTGCACATCTCACTGGAAAAAGACAGTGATGTGGTGCTAGTTCATACAAAAAGTCAGCGTGAAGCAACTTCTAATGGTCCTGTTAACTAAAATAAGAAGAATAAGCTGCAAAGATTACTTTGCGTTATTTTAAAAAGATCTGCCAAAAAAAAAAAAAAACCTTTACAAAGAAGATATCAGATGGTAAAAGATTACTTTTAGTCAAGCAAAGGGGAAATAAAGTCTTAGCAGTATAGACAATGCAATAAAGTACTTACTGTGTGATCTGGATGAAAGGAGAAGTTTTGGAAATGTCGCCCAGTATTTACTCCTGTGAAATATTTCCCAATTCCCTACAGCAAAGCCTTTATACTCATCACATCCCACCCACCCTTTCATTTCCTACCTACAGCCTCCCTCCCCTCTACCGCCTTCTCGCCCTCCTTCCCTCTCATACCATCAGCCCTCTTTTCCAACATTTAATCAGACCGGAGTATTAGCTCACGTCTCTCCAACTCCCACGCCCAGCAACCAGCAGGACATCACATTGCTTTAGCTGATGGAGCAGCCAGGAGAAATTGAGAAAAACAAGTTAGGGATAAACATAGATGGGGGGAAATAAAGGGGACGGTGAGTGAAGGATGGCAAAGGATGGCAGAGGGCCATCCGTCCTGCTTCGTAGCAGGCACATGATAATATTCACTCCTGTTTGCCACCATGAAAAAAAACAAACATCCACCATGTGAACACAATATGTGTGCTTGGTTTGACTGAATGTGTCTGAGACTACTGCTAGGTAATAGTCTCGACCTCGCTACTGATGGACATTTAGTAACAGTTGATGCTGATATTTATTTAGCCATTATTGAATCCTAATTGACTCACCTTCCCCTCTGTGATCGTAGACGCTGTATAGGTTCAAAATGATCTGACTATTTGCAATTCAAGAATCTAGAGGGAGGAAAACCATAGAAACAGTCAAAACTCCCCCAAGATTAAGGAGAACTGAGGCACTTTCCCTGACCCTTGGTGAGGAGAGTGGCCTGGGGGATGAGCTCACGGAGTGAAGTTTTGGCTCTTGAGGCATCACAATGACCAAGCCAAAAAAAAAAAAAAAATCTTTAAAAGTCCAAGTCAAAAGTGAACCTGGGCATGCCAATACCTGACATGGAACAAAACCAAGATTCAAGTTCTGCAGTGTTTTGTTCTTGAATGATGGAAGAACAGAGACAGAAACAGATTGTTGGATCATGACCCTGAAGCCCTCTATGCTATCATCTGTGCACCTAATGTGTCAATTATATGTGGGCTAAACTATCAGAGTCATTTATCACTTGGCAAGAATAACACAAGGGCAGTGGTGAGTAGACCCAGGGAAATCCCCTACTTCTGCCTTTCTCTTACCTCATTCGAAGGATTTATGTAATCTTGAGCTACATCGGTATTATGCTGGCATAGACTTAGGACAACCTGACCAATTACCCTCACTTTATTTTCTGCTACTCTTAAAATTACATAACCTTAACTGTTAACTTCATGTTTTCTCTCAGTTTTCTCCATTGAAGCTACTTCTGGTAACATTCTGTTGGCCTTATTGATGATGAACAATTACATTTTGTCCCTCTCTTGCTATGAACATTTTGTTTTTCTTACCATAGAAAAACCTCCATCAGTTCTTCGGTTTCTTTTTCATTTGTCTTCTCAAATCCCCAGTAGGTTGTGGTGGATGGTCGTTCGTACTGAACCAGGTTCTGGTTCTGCTGGAGATTTCTTCCTGTTAAAGTTAAGTGTTTCCTCTCAGCTGCCGCTACATCCATGCTCGGTTTGAGGGATTGCTGTGAATTGAAAGACACAATGCAGGTGATTGCTTCACGCTCATTAAGGAGGAGTGAATACTGTAAATCAATGAATTGTAGGAATCTAAAACGTTTCCAAGGAAACCCAGCAAACTAATTTGAACAACTAACTGAGCTTAATGTACTGTTTGATAACTAGGATCAATTATAGATGAAGAGTCTTCTCAAACTGCTTTATCACATTAGATGGACTGATCGAACAACTGAAGATGAATAGTTCGGGGTGTTCTGGGCATATCTCATTAAGAGGACTCTCAGATTACCATAGATGGTAGACTGTCCTCTAGTCTGTGGGTAGCTTAGGGTGCAGGGTTGGGCTGAACACTTCAGGAACCGTTTCCCCCCATGAGTCAATCTCAGAAGAATGGGATGTTATAACCATTCTCAGGTTTATGCTGAGCATCACAACACAAATACCAGCTCAATTTTTATGAAGTCAGCCTGGGGAAGGGGAGAGTGGAGTGTAAATACGGCATCATACTGAGAAGCTATACATAAGATTAGCCCACTGGATTTTACGGCTGAATTTTGAGAAGATGGAGAAACGGCCTTTTAGACTAATGATCTCCAACTCCAGTCCTGAAGGGCCGGTGTTCTGCAACTTTTAGATGTCTCTCCGCTCCACAACACCTGGCTCCAATATAAGCTCATTAGCAGAGCTGTGTGGGGCTTGACTGCGTGCCAGTAAAGCAGTTTAACCATTTCATTCAAGTGTGCAAGACAAGAAACGNATCTAAAAATTGCAGGACTCAGAAACTTTCCTATAACAAACGAGACGAAAGTAAAAAAATGTTACAAATGAATTTCAATGCACTTTTTATTTTTGTATTATGCCTAAAAGTTGAACAAGTTCTTGCATTGTAGGAACTTGTCATATCTCATTTAAAGTTGTTCTTCCATAAAACTATAACGGGGGACTGGAGTCCCAATGTTCGTCTTTTGTGAGACTTTTGAGTAGCCCACCCTCATAATTTACCAATCAACAGTATTGTTTTCCTATGACCACACATCTCTACAGTATGAAATAAATATGGCTGTAGTGGTTGTGAATCCTCTGAGGTCAGAAGTACCAATATGTGGGAATAGAGACTTTTCCAACAAATTATTGCTATTTAAAAAAACAAAAACCTGTCAGAATCACTTTGCTAGCCTTATTTTTGATAGCATTCACATTTTCTGGGGACTGGAAAACCCAGACTTTACACCATCAGACACACTCAGCAAAACAAGCAGCATCTAATATTTTGGGATCTTTACATAAATCCATAAAGGAATTCAGACCTACATTATAGCAACATACAACATGCTACAATATTCAAAACTCTTACTGTGAGATTGTGAAAATGTGCCTGGAAAATACCTAATACTGCACCTTTAAGAAAAAACAAGACTAGTACTAAATATGTGGTATTTTTGTTGCACTTATCTAGAGATCACTCCAAGGACCTCATACTTTTTGCTATCCGTCATTTTGACTGAGAGCATTTTAAAAAGTCCGTCATGTAATATTATTCCCTGTCAAATTATAACCATATTGACATGGGTTAGTCATTTTATTTATGTGATTTAGTTAATATTCACCTGTTGAACCGTGAATCCAGATCTCATCACACATAAAGCAGATGAAAATATCTCACTTTTTCTCACCAGTGACAAAAACCACTGACTGTGGCCCCAAAAACTTATGATAGATGAAATTAAATGACTCCACTTAAATTACAAGTATTTCACCTGCTGGGGTCTGAACATACAGCCTGATAAATTCCTCCTGGTCCACATCTAAAGAGAAATCTGCGCTGGTTCATCAATCGGTTGGACCTTTCTCATCCAAACTTATCAATTAAACTCTGAGTTTTTCCCCCCTGTTCGAGGTGCGGCTGTGTATTTTTATGAGGATTTGTTTTGTGTGGTTTTGCGTCTCCGGAACGAACAGATGTTACATCTGCCACGCTAGGCGTGGCAGATGTAACATCTATGTAACATATGTTAACATCTATGTTACATAGATGTAACATCTATGTAACATAGCAAGACACCCTAGGCGTCTTGCTAAAACCGCGGGAGGGTAATATCTTCCAGGTCCATTTGTTAAAAAACCAGATTTGTTAATTCTTGTTGTGCAGCCCTGCGCATGTTACCATCTAATTAACTTCTGCACCTTTATTTATTTCCTCAAGATAAACTGCCGGCTCCTCTGTTTACACTATAAATGGATTAACACAGCGGTGCATTCTCTTTAGTTTTCTCTGTTCTGTACTGGAGACTGGAATTAAAAACCATTTCAACCAAAGGTTTTGAATGCGCTTCTGAACCAGACGCTCCAAAGCCTCCTGTCCATAACTCTTCAACACACTGTCAGCTCCCAGTCAGAAAGACGCATTTAGTTCAGAGTTCATGAGATGATATTCAGAAAAGATTTTTTGTCATTGACTGATTTTAGTTCCCTCTGCAATGTAGTCTGTGTGTAAAGTCTATAATGTCTGCCTATGTGCACCAGTCAAGGGTGTCAATTATAACCTGTCAAAATTAAGAAGGGGCTTAAAAAAACGGTCATTAAAACCGTATTATTGAAATACGGAATATATTTGGTTAACGCGACTCCTGCTATAGTCACACCTACCCAATCACAAACATTTATACTCAACTTGGGGTTAAGTGCCTTACCCAGAGGAAAAGCAACCTGACAAGCGGAAGCTGGAATCAAACCAACGACCTTCCGATTGCAAGATTGAACCCACTGAGCCTGATCTTTATCCTCAAACCTTCAGCACGCTAACTGTACTGCGATGGTAGACAACATCTCTGTGGAGCATATCTGAGTTATGTAACACCACATCGCAGCTGCCTCAGTCACAGAGCTCCATGAATACTTATGTGAGACCCGAACCTCGCCAAGCGCAAACAAACTGAAAAGGTGATTCCTGTGCCAGGAAACCAAAAAAATCCAGACAGAAAGATAAACACCGAGACAGTCTGCAAGAAGAAGATAAACTCTCACTATCTGATAAAAACGGGACAAGAGAGGTAAAATAAAAATGATGAAAATAAAGAGGAGGGGCAGATAGTACACAAAGAAAGTTTTTTCCACCCGTGTTTCTTGGATGGATCATTGTGGGGTGTAACTGTGGAACATCTGAGTTAAAATTTCATTATTTCACAAAATTGTCCCAAAACAGAACAAGGAAATAAAATGAATGAGAGGTGTAATTGTGCAAATTTCAGGCTATTTGCAGAGTTAATGAAGAGTTTAGTTCTAAGATTTGGGGTTAGATGAAGGCAAACTAAGCGAAACACAGATGATTGCATGAAAAACAGGAGCACAATAGCACATTTGTACTCATATCCCTTCAAGATCCTCCCAACACATTCCTCCACTTTTCATTTCCCTTCAAATTATTTCTCCCACTCCTTCTCGTGCACCTGGAGTCGTGTTTTGACCAGTCACCTCCTCAGCCAACCGCGCCAGGGGGCCGAGATGGAAGATAAACGAGGAACAGAGAGGATGTGGTAAACAGGATGAGAGTCAGCC